ATTGCTCAACGACCCAACATGTAGGGAGGAGCTTTATTCGTTTTTTCAATCACAGAATAATCAAGGAGGAAATGATAGGAACGAAGATGATGATATGTAAGGAGGTGCTTTATTTGTATATTATACTTGTTATCACACTTTGCTACTTGTTAGAATTCTAAAACTTACTTCGCTACTTGTTAGAATTGTCAAACTTTTGATTGTTTTATTTTGGTATTAAATTAATTATAACAATATTTGGTATTTAATTTGATGTTGTTATGTAAATGTTGGTATAGAATTAATTATAATAGTATTTGGAATTAATTATACCCAAAATCGCTAATATAAAAAAAAAATGAAAAATGTTGTTATCGGCGACACTATTACCGGTGACATGAGTATTACCGGCGACGTTGTCTTTAGCGACAACAGGAAGTATTACCGGCGACAGATGTATTAGCGGCGACAATCTGATCAATAGCGACGAAGCAGTAGCGACAACTATTTACCGGCAACGTGTCACCACTATTAGCTTTAGCGGCGACATCTCGACCCTTTACCGGCGACTTTTATCGCGGCTAATTGCTCATTTCCTTGTAGTGAAATCAATCGATAGTTTAATTAGTTTGAAATGATTTTGCTGTTTTTGTTTTAATTAAATTTGATCTTAGGATATTTACTTAATACTTATGAACCGAAACACCGAACACAATTTAGCATTTAAATCATGAATACGTATTTTACTATAACTAATATAGTTTCAGTAAATTGATATTAATTATCATAAGTGTCAAACTAAATTACTAAAATATATTATTTTTAAGAAAAGACGTCTTTAATCATCTATAAAATCACAATGAGACACGATAGGAAGAGAAAACACATGTATGCTTTTTGGTTATCTATAATCTTGGACCCACAAATAATTTTGACTACGACACTAGAAAAACGTCACAATATGTAGTGGAAGACTAACAAGTAACAACTAATACCATGGTAAATCAATGTTGCATCGACCATTTTTCTTTTCGTAATCAAAAAATATTGTAAGAATGACAGGAATTTATCTAGGTACTAGAAATATACATTGATCGATTACTTTCAAAACTAGTATACAATATTGTTTGTTTGTTTTTTCTTTTTAAACTGATAATTGTTTGTACAAATATACAAGAAACAGACTATAATTAAGGATAAACGAGTTTTTGATTGGCCAATTAAAATTTGTCTGCATATTTTATATATCTAAAGTTATATATAATTGTTCAATTTTTAAGCATTTTTTTGGAATATTCATATAATTAATAATTAATACAAAAAGGGCAAAACGAGTGATTCAACGGACTTAGCAAACTAAAATTAACGGTTGTTTGTAGAGATCAAATTCATAATCAAACCCTACAAAATGTACTATGTTTACAATCTGAACTTCAGTCCAAGAAACTTGAAAACCAAAAAGTACGTTTTTGTAGTTTTCTATTATATAAACACATCGTATTAGATAATTGTGTTGGGACATTTTTCGTTTTCAAAATCATTTACTTTTACAAATTACAATATTTTTCTTAAGTATTTGTAAAAGTGATAATCGATTACCAAAGTATAATGTCTTTATAAGCAAACTAATTATAAATGTAACACTTATCTGTTATCATGGTTACGTTTAAACTAGTTTACTTTTAAAGTGATCATGATCGCTAATCCCTTATCACTTATAAACATACTCAAAAAAAATATTGTAATTTGTAGAAGTAAGTGATTTTGAAAAAGAAAATATCATAATATAATTATTTTATAATTTATTTGTTTAAATAAGAGACAACTGCAAAAATATTTCATGTATTTTACAATTTTCTTCGATTGAAATTCAAAAAGTTCATGTTGGAAAAACAATCCATTTGACATGGTTTGGTTGTGATTTGATCCCTAAAAGTAACAACCGGTTAATTTTAGTTTGTTAAGTGTGTTGAAATACTAACTTTTCCTTTTTTATATTAATTGGTATTATATGGCTATTTTAGTAAATTTAGTTTGTTAAGTGTGTTGAAATACTCATTTTGTTCTTTTTGTATTAGTTAGTAATTATATATATGACTATTTTAGTATATTTAAAGTATAATCCTAAGACCTACTCATGTAATCTCTTTCTTATTTCCTATGTTATCTTTGTACCCCGGTCCTTCCCTTTCCAATGACACAACCATAGCCTCGCGCTATTGTTGACCTCCTCCTCTTATATATGTCGTCCCCTCTCCCCCCATTCAATCTATATCTTTCACCCTATGCACTTCCCTATGAGATCATTTCATGTATTTGTAGGGCTTTTGATTTGCCCCCCTTTTTGTTTGATTTGAATTGCTAGTACACATCGATGGAAGAGATTGATAACATAATCATGAAGAAGATGACTCATTGTTTCATGATCAATTGAGAATCACACTAGGAGCATACCCTGCAACTTTGATCGGGCATCTAAAACGTCCCTCAACACATTAGTTGTCTTAGACCGCCAAGGGATCCAAGATCTAAGGTTACTTGTCAGATTAGGTAACGGTATCTTTGATTCATACTTGGACAAACCAGTTTCTTATCCTATCCATCTCTGATTGTAATGTCTAGCGGCTCACCGTTTATGGGACCATTCGATTAAATTGTAACTCTAATACATGATTAAAGAACATAAACAGAGATTTACTTTTTGTTTGAATATATAATTTTAATAATTTGTTTATCTTGGTGACTTGAAATAATCAAAGAGTAAACTTCAAAAAAATCTAATTGTTTTGATATCGGATCCATATTAAATATAAATAACATTAAAATTTGAAATATTATATATATATATATATATATATATATATATATATATATATATATATATATATATATATATATATATATATATGAAAAGTAATTTGGTTATTTTATAAGAATTTAACTGATTAAATAAATGGTTGTTAGTTTTAGAGACCAAAATCAACAACAAAACTATGTCAAATAGATTATTTCTATAAGTTATAAACATTTTAGACTTCACTTAAAAAAATATAAACTATATAAGTATATAGACAATTTTTACAAATTCTCTTTAATAAATTAATAAAAGAAATCTATAATTTCCATACCATTTAAAAAACAGTGAACAATTATAACAAAAGTTAACTACTTATTTAACATTATCAACGTTGTTTGAAATTAATAAACATAATTATTGATGATCGATTTGATGATAGGAAGTTTTTTATTAGGATTGTTTATTCTTTATAAAAAAGAAAATCATAAAAGCAAAAATGAGAACCAAAAGTGTCCACTTATTCATTTAAAACCAACATGGAATCCACTGAAAAAATATGCTATTAACAGAATCTGCCATGACACTTTTGTATTAATTAGGTCATGCAATAAAGGAGTTTAAAACCAATTACTTTATAAATAAAATACATTTTATTAACTAAATATTTAATTTTTAGCCCTGATATATTTGGACATATAAATTCAATAATTATCTAGCTTTTATTCTTGCATGGTAAAGATAAAATGTGCTGAAGAGTGACACAATTTAGTATGAGATCATTCACGTAAAATAATCGTCTAATGAGAGATCCTCGTTATAACATAAATTTATCATTTTATTTTATTTTAAATTCGAATGATACAAATTAATATACTCATCAAAAATTGTAGACCTAGTAAATACTCGTCTCCCAAATAAGGAAGCATCACCAAACGCTTTCAAATATTGGACACGTGTGAGATTCATATGAATTGTTATGTAGTAATTTTGCATTTGCTGGTTTGAAGTTCATTTGCATCTCGTGTGTATTTCCCCTTTTCTCTTTCTCTCATTATTGGTTGGTTTAAAGTTCTTCTCTAGTTTCCTATTCAAGGAAAAAGTTCTCCTTTTCATGAGAAACCGTTAAATTTGTGTTTTTTTCTATTTTTATTTCTTTTTTCATGCTAACTTAATTATGATTTGGCATTGTCAAACCGATACTAATGTTTTTCTTTTCAAGATTGTTGCTAAAATCACAAATTCACACCATCATTTTAAAGTTTAACTCATCCCATTATATGCACCACTTTATATATAGGTTCGTGTTCCTTATGTGGGTTGTCTCTTCTGAGAACCAACTTTACTACGAGTGGCAATATTCTACACCACACCATTTACATGTTCATTGTTTCATATGTTTAGATATATATCATCTAAAACCATATATTTTTACCATCCAGTAAAAATATATAATTATGGTAGAAGTATATAACTATCGACATCTGCCTCCTCTTATCCAGTACAATTGATATTGTAGGAGTTAGTTTCAAAACTCTTATAAAAATTCAACTTTAATATCTTTCTTTCTCATTCATAATATGGAATATTTATCTTATCTAGAAAAGAATAAGAGTTTCACAAAAGCCTACCCTAAAAACTCTATTTTTTAAATTCTATACCTTTATTTGCATAGCTAATAAAGAAATTATACATAATAGTATAAATATAAGTTTAATTTCTTTGTGGATTTACAAAAGGAAATTTGGGAATATGTCCTAAAGTGTGTACTATATCCAAGATATTTAAGAAAATATCTCTTTTTCTACTTTCTTTTTTTTTTCAAAAACATCATTTATTTATTTTATGACTAATTTTCCTATATAATCAAAGATGTTTTTTTTCCTATTTTTTTATTTTTTTATTACTTAAAAAATCTAAGAAATAAAAGACGGGTACTCTTTAGATGATGACGAAGGTAGAAACATGTGAGTGACTTTCGAGATCACATGTGTGCTTTCCTAAACCGCGACATTTACGCTACTACCGTTATTTACACCCACACTCCCTTTATTTTAAGCAACTTGCCATTTCTCTTTCCCTTTTCACTTTTTCTACATTATTTAAACCAACCCTTCCCTCCCCACCACTTACTACTAACTCCCCCCTCTCTCTCCGCCTCTTGACTCCCAATCCATGCCGCTCCGCCGTACCACCGCCACCCATAACCTCCGACCACTAAATCAAAATGGCTACTCAAGACTCTCAGTCGTTCCACTGGCGTTACGACGAGCTCGACGATAAGAACTTCCAAATTAGAGGCCGGACACTCTTCTTCATCATCGTACTCTTCTCCGTCATCTTTTTGGTAACACTTCTCTTCCTCTACGCCCGCTGGATCTGCCGGTCGTCCTCCTCTTCTGCAGCCGTCTCTGATACCACCACCTTGTCCCCCCACGTCCGGCCCTGTTCACGGCCTCAAGGCCTGGATTCCGCCCTGATCGATAGTCTACCGATCACGCTGCACCATCGGCCTTCCACGTCGTCGGCGTCTTCCGGTGAATCAGAGTGTTGTATTTGTATCGGAGAATTTGAAGAAGGGGAGAAAGTGAAGGTGTTGCCGAATTGCTGCCATACTTATCACTGCGAGTGTGTAGACAAATGGCTCACCACTCATTCCAGCTGTCCTATTTGCAGAGCTTCACTCGTAGTCGACTCACCCGTTTGACTCGTTTTTTTTTTTCTTTTTGCTAGGAATGTATGCAATTGCAAACCAAATATACAACTCTTAATGGATAAAGTATAAATTAATATAATATCCATCTTCATAGTTTAATTATATTCGCTTCAATCGTATCATTTCATTTGGTACTTTGTCGCTTAAAAAAAAAGAAAAGAACTCGTTAATAGTTAGTGGTTAAATTGTTAACAATAATATCGTAATCGCATTGTAAAAAAACTGTGACTTTTGCTCATAAACTAACATTTTTAATATTAGTAAAGAAAGAAATGGATACTTCCATGAATAATAGTATATAAAAGAAAGAATTTGTTTTTAAAAAAACTTTAAAGAGCATATATTAAAATATATATGTAAATGATTAGATTAGACACAAAGTCCACGAAACCACGGTCTGTAAACCATGATTTTGATAATACTTTAATAATTGATGATGAAATAAAATTTGGTTTTTTGTGTATGGTTTTTATGGAACATAAAGGCCAAAAATGTTACAATTATGATGCACACTTGATAGATAGAGATGACCATACATTCAATGTCGATTAGTATATGAACCATTTAAATTTGGGAATAGAAGACCCCACGCTCATTGTGGGGATGTCTCCATCTTAAGTTAGGCAGTTTCTTTACGTGAAAAAAATATTCCTTCGACAATGTAAAATATGATTTTTTTTAGAATGAAACAAATGATTATTTTATTGATACTGACAGTCAAGTGGTTTGTTGAAAATACAATTAATTTCGAAGTCTGTTTTTTGGAATGAAACACATGACTATTTTATTGAAAATCATTTTAATTAGCGGCTATTAATTTTGAAGAGGATAAAACGGATTATTCTTATAAACATGTAGAATTTAAGAGGAAATTTAATAATGCAAGAAAGACAATCGTGAAAATGACGGGATAATTAAATTAATAGTTGTATGCGGTTCTTGAGATATAACTAAATAGATTTGTTCATGCACATGTTGACAAATAAGATGGCATAAGAATTAAGAACCTTGTTAGTTTCTTGTAGTAATTGAATAGTTTTTTCTTATAAACACGTGTACACGTCAAAAGGTGGGAATGAGAAACCCAACAAATCAATTTCATCAAGTCTAAAGAAGAATTTAGAAATGCAAAGCATAAATTCATCAAAAAAAATGATTCTATTAGGACGTTCATCGATTTCTTGAAAAAATTACATACATTTAATATTCGTAACATGATAGAAACTTGTTAAATCATTTTCACATAATCTTAAGGATTTAGGTGAGCCGAATGAAGCACTTTTATTAGAACGATGACAATTGACACCTGAAGATTTTGTCAGTTTCTTGTATATAATTACATGGACTTCTATGGTGACAAAACGGACGACAAATAATCCCATTAAATCACTTTCACAATATATGAAGGACAGATAGTTCATTGACTATCCTAGAAATTTCCCCAATAACAACATTTCTTTTAGTTCTTTGAATGTAGTTAATAAACTATCCAATGAACATGTTCAAAGGTGCACGAGACAGCCCGTTGAATGGTATTGACTATTTGTAAAGGATAATCACAAAAATGTCGACATCATTTTTTAAAATTAGAATAAAAGAAACAAAGAAAAAAAATATCGTAAGCGGGAAAACGATGGAAATTTACCAAAGTATTCTTTGTTTTTTTTCCTACGGTTATTTCAAAAATAGATTTAGAATTTGTATGTCTATTCGGTTTAAATTTAAAGTTTTTATTCCTGAATTAAAACCTACAAATTATTCAAAAAAAAAATTGTTTAACTTGATTATTAACCAGTTTCTATGTTACCTTTCAGTAATATGCCTGCTTTTTCCTCTAAACATCATTTTCCGCTGAGTTTTTTCGGATGATCAAGTTTAGAAAGAACCATTTTCCCAACATGATATCGTTATATATAACCTGAAGCAAACATATGAATATTTAATCGTTGGGGCTAACATGGTCGATCCTGAGAAATTAAATATCATCAAAGGCCCAGAACGATAAAGAAAATAGCCCTTGTCGTTATTATTTTTAAATAAAAATATATAATAAAAAATTAGGTCATGTGCAGCTATAAACTTTGCTCCCCCCCCCCCCCCCCCCCTCTCAACGCCTCCCATGGGGGGTATCCTACCCAACTAAAACAATATATAACAAGAAGGTCATGGTTCTATGTCAAACAGATCCCAACCTACCGTTCAAAAAACATATGAATATCTAGCAGTAATTATGTAATTGCATAAAAAAAATCTGATACATAAACCTGGACAATTGGTTCGCTTTTGTAACATCTCAAAATACGACCCAAATTTTTTTTGTTTAAATAGTAATAAAAATCATATACTGATCGTCTTATCATAAAAACCATACGTCAAATATCTCAACTCATAATAAAATGTCGTGAAACAACTGTATCAAATCAAACTATGAATCAAAACAAACTCTCAGGATAAAGACTGAAGTTGTGGTGTGTGCGATGTCATCATCCCGAGCTCTTCCCCTTACTTGCGGAAGTACCTGAAATCAAAACTGAAACTGTAAACACGAAGCTTAGTGAGCTCCCTCAAACTACCACATACCATACAATAACATATAAACACGTACTGGGCCTTGCCCACTGCATCGGGCCAAAGCCCGAAAACTGCATCGGACCGTAGTCCGGAACTGATTGGGACCTTGCCCCCTGCATCGGACCGATGTCCGGAACTAGCTGCATTGGACCGAAGTCTGGAACTGACTGCATCGGACCGAAGTCTGGAACTAACTGATCATAGCATAGCATAGCATAACACATATCAACTAGCATAACACACATCATCATAAACTCATATACTGCACACTACGTCAAGCCATAGCCAGAACACATAACACATAAATCATGTATGAGCCACGAAGGCATCAAACACCCTAACAACTACATCGGACTGAAGTCCGGAAACTACTACTAACTAAACGGGTCAGCATTATGGCCTTAGACCCGTTCCTACTGGAAGGAAACTCACCTCGTAGCCTAGCTGTTGAAAGGATTGCTCCGGAATCTGTCTGTCGCGTCTCCGGTTTCACCCCGGCTACAATATCCATGAGCACCATCAATCAAATACTGATAATAATAATACTCAAGGTAAAATGACTCTTCTACCCCTGGTCCAAGTCAACCTAACTATCAAAGTCAACATTCAGTTGACCTGACTCGTCGAGTTGGGTCGCCAACTCGTTGAGTCCTTACTCTTACTTTCTTGATTCCACTCGCTACTACTCGTCGAGTTTTAGCGCAAACTCGGCGAGTTTCTCTTCGCTACTAACACCCCGACAATCTGCATCCGACTCGCCGAGTTGTATGAACAACTCGTCGAGTTCTCCTTCATCAGATGATCATTCTAACTGTGACTTGCCGAGTTGTATGAACAACTCGTCGAGTCTGTTCTTGAAGTATGAAGATGGCCTTGAACTTGTCGAGTCAGGGCATTGACTCGCTGAGTTATTCCACGAATGAGTCTAACCCTCTAGCTCACCGAGTCCACCTCTCACTCATTGGTTCCACTCGGCATAACTCGAAAAAGGAAACACAGGGGACTCGCGACTCGACTCGCCGAGTCAGAAGAACGACTCGCCGAGTCGTATGCATGCAAACATTATATACTCGATTCTGCTTGAAACCAATCCATACCATTAATAGATCTGGGTTCCTAGGACTTGATTTACACGTAAAGTTTCCAACTTTACGTGTAAATAACATCAAATGAAGGTTTTAAGGTTCAAAGCACACTATAATAGTAGATCTAGAGCTTTCATGCAAAATGGATCCATAAAGGTGTTAGATCTAAGCTTCTGGAGTTCAAATCTAGCTAGATCCGAAGGCTAATCAACTCCATGAGTCCTCTATGCTACTACTAAGCCAAGAAATGGTTCAAGAATGGCTTTAATGGCTTCAAAAAGGAGATTTAAGCATAGAAACAGAAAAAGGCCAAGATATACCTTACTTTCTTCTGAAATTCCTCAAGGATCTAGGATCTCCTTCTTCTCTTCTTGATCTACCTTCCGTTATCTCTCAAAATCTTCAAAGAACACACCAAAATCACACAAAATGCAAAGAGGGCTCTAGGGTTTCGAGAATGATGCTCTGAGGGGTGATGGGGTCTGACTTGTGGCCTCAAAAGATGTTTAAATAGGGTGCAAACCCTTGAAATTAGGGTTTCATCTAGACTGGCGGACTCGCCGAGTCCGAAATATAGACTCGTCGAGTCGCCAACTTAAACGTGCTCGAAATCGCGACCCTACTCGACGAGTCCAGCTACCGACTCGTCGAGTCCCCCTTAAAACTTGAAGGAAAATAACAATAAATAGAATATAAATATCATACCAAAATTGGGGTGTTACAGCTTGGGTCGGGTCAAGATAGGACAAACTCATTAAATCCATCAAACTTAAACAAAAACAAAAAACAAAAAACAAAAAAATAAAAATTACTAAAAATTATTAGTTTGAGCAACATTAAAGAAAACCAAACTTTAAACCAAGTATTTTAGGTTTGATAAAGTTTGTAAGCAACCCACATAATAATAATAATAATAATAATAATAATAATAATAGTAAATTACTGAAATGGTACCTATGGTTTGGTCAAAATCAAGGTCTCTAACCTTTTTTTTTGCACTCGGATCGTCCCTGTGGTTTGATTTTGTTGCATTTTTCGTCCCTTACATACATAAAGTTAGGAACCAAACATGCAATTTTGACTAAACCGTAGGGACGAAAAACGCAACAAAATCAAACCACAGGGACAATCCGAGTGCAAAAAAAATCAGGGACCAAATATGCAATTTTGACCAAACCATAGGGACGATTTTAGTAATTTACTATAATAATAATATATCATCCATATGTCTTTTAGTATTTCAACAAGTAGAAATGAGTTTCTTATTTTTTATTACTATTTTTTTACCAAACTAGTGTCACCAGGTTTAAATTCGCAACTTAACATAATTTATGA